TTCAGCCTGTCCACACTCTCCACTGCTTCTCCATAAAGGAATGGGGTGGTGTTGTGAGATGTGAGGGGGTTAGGGGTGATGTGTGTGTGTGTGTGGGGGGGGGGTTACTAGTGTAATCAGACCAACAACTGTTGTGTCGTCTGCAAATTTTATTATTAAGTTGGATGGGTGGATGGGGGCGCAATCATGGGTGAAAAGAGTGAAGCATTGGGCTCAAAACACAACCCTGTGGGGGTTCCTGTGTTCAGGATGATGGTGGAGCAGGTGTGTCTCTCGACTCTGACCTGCTGAGGGCGGTCTGTAAGCAAGTCCATAACCCATGAGCACAGTGAGGAACCAAGGCCCAGATTGTTCAACTTGCTGACCAGTTGTTGTGGGTTAACTGTGTTAAATGCGGACCATGTGCATCCCACTCCTTCAATAATGTCCTCACTTTGCTGTTCATCCATGGCTTCTGGTTGGGAAACACTTTAATTGTCCTGTGAGTTGTGACAGTTTCAGTACAGAAGATTATGTATCCAAGAACAGAGCAAGCATATTCCTGCTTGGTGTGTCTTAGGTTTTGTTTTCCCTCTGCCTCCTTTAGTAAGAATGATACATGGATGGTACACATACATGAATGATAATGGAGGGGACGCTGGGCGAAATGTGGCGATATGTGTCGAATTGGCAACAGGGCAGGTTGTGAATGCCCCGTAACAGAAAGTGTTTGCGCTAATTCATTTTGAAACAGCAACGGCCAATGGGGGAACTCCAACTCAGTCACATAGCATTCAGTTGGTCAATGGTGGAACGGTGACCGCTCGAACTATGATCAGTCAGTCAGTCGGTTAGCCAGTCACGGACATTCATGATTATAGGGCAGGCCCCGCTGATGCGGTCCAGCCAAAAACTGTTTCTACCCTTAAAACACAATGCAGAAGTCAAAACTTACACCCTGCCTTTCCTTTTGTTCTTTAGTTTTTTTTTTCCTGGAGCTTTCCTGGTTGGGACCCCTGCTGTGCCAGAGCAGCGGTCTTACTGAAATTAGAAAAGCAAAAAACACAGTGCTGTTTGTGTGAATGCAGCCTAGGGGCGGAGGAAGAAGCTGAAGACAATAACCCCAAGTCTACTGTATTGCCATTCACCTCTTTTAAGGAAGAGAGAACTATATGCTGCGAAACAGATGGACAGCTTATCAGAGGAGGTGATTATTATCTCACTGTCACCTCTGACTGGCCTCTTCTGCAAAGCAATGGCTTTTGTGACTCATGAGTTTTTGCCGTGGATGTAATCCACTGACATTTGACATCGCAAACCAATATTTGATGTGGTGGTGAAAACATAATAGTTCAAGTCTTTGGCTTATCGCAGTGATAGGCCTTAATATGAGGAAAAAAAACAAACAATGGAGTTTTTTAAATATTTATAATGTTTTTAAAGATCATTTCATTTTTTTACATAATTACGTCTTTTCACCCAAAGTGTACTGTTTTGAAAATGATTTGTCGGCCCACTTCCAATACCTTCGCGGCCCAGCAGTTGGCCCTGGCCAACAGGTTGGGAACCACTGCTCTACGGATCCTCCACTGAGAGTATAAGAACAGCTGAAGCGTGTCACCTGACCATACCTTCTGCTTGTCCAGGTTTCTCCACCAGGATCAGGGAGACGTATCTGAGCCAAAACCAGCAGAACTGAGACTATATGTTTGTGATGGACCGCAAGCCTCAGCATCCTCGATGGAAAATATCTACATTGTTCATGAACTGCCTCATCTGCCTCTGCATCGGCCTCCTCTTCGTTCTCTTCCTGTATTCCATATTCAGGTGGGTGATATTACTAGTCTGATCTGCTTCAGAATGACAGTGATTCAAATATTGAATTATTCTGAGTTTCATTCAAGCAACTCCAACTGTGGCATTAAATGTGGCGGTAAAAAAAATCTTGAAATTAAGGTGAAAAAAAGACACAGCATATAACATATCCAACATCTCCTTTGACCTGTTTGAAGGGAGCTACATGGGGTTACTGCTGCAATGGCAGGGGAGGAAAATCTTAGCCACAGAAGTGCTGTAGTTGAACTTCTTCCTTCAGTGCTCCACCTGGTGATATTTTCAGATTTTGCGCTCTAGTTCAGTCACTCTATTCTTTAAAAGTGTGACATTTTAGTATTAGAAATAAATGGGGGAAATTGTAACAGCTGAAATGTTGATCCGGCTACACTACCAGGCTTCTGTCTTTGTTTCACCACTGGGGCTTTTTCCTGAAGAAAGGAACAGAATAGATTAGATTAGAATAGAATAGATTGCATTAGATGAGATTAGATTAGAATAGATAGGAATAGAAGCTTCCCTCTCTCCAAGTTTCTGGTATTTGAAGGATGAGTTTCATTCTTATCCGACACATCTGGGTGCTCTTGTTTGTCTTGCACTTGCACAAGTTGTGTGTGTGTGTGTGTGTGTGTGTGTGTGTGTGTGTGTGTGTGTGTGTGTGTGTGTGTGTGTGTGTTTTGTTGTTTGTGTGTGTGGTTTAGGGATTTCAGTGAAAGATTGATAGCTCGGACTATATCTGTAGCTGGTTGGGAGTGGTGCATCAACAAGAATGCAGGGATGTTGAGGTGTTATCTTCAGCAATGTTTATTAATAACAACAGGTAGGTAGCATACCTGATGACTCGTTATAGGTAAGCTACTAAGTCACTGGTATTCCAAGACGACATTAGCCTAAGACTACAGTCATTATAATGTACAGTATTTCAGTAATGATTATGACATCAGTGTAAAGCCTAACATGTACAGAATAACGTCCAGGGAACAAACATGAGCACTTTCCAGGATGGCAGCAACAGCCACTGATTTACCATTGCTGTTGTAAGTGCACGCAGCACATGTAGCCAGCAGGCTTTATGCTAATACATCTGATTCCAGTTGAATGTATTTACGCCACAGGATATATATGCTCATCCACTTTTCACCACAAACTACATTTAAACAAACATAACTCAGAAGCACACTGTAAAATGTCACCTCATTAACAGTCAGTCTATAGCTACATTTTCTTTTATTTTCTCTGTGTTAAATCAGAATGGGTCATCATCTTTACATATTGATGACCTGGTTAAACATTTTAATGACATGTGCGTCTGCTGTAGAAGCTGCCACGCCTCTTAAAGGTCCCATATTGTACACTATGCCTGTGTTTTATTTGAGCCATAAGAAGATGTTTATTTGTGGTTTCAAGAAGTTGGGTTTCTTTAGTAAGGGTTTACAACAGCTGTTTTGAAATGACATCTGGAAAGATGCCATTTTGAAGCGATATATTGATAATGTTCAATGCATGACTTGCTGTTGAACACTTGCTTAAAAAATGCTGTTGGTACAGGGTCAATACATGAGGTAGAGGAGTTACACTCAGTGACAGCCCTGCAAAGCTCAGTTAAAGTAATACAGGTGAATTTTCCCATGGCAGCATCTTTTTTACAGGGTTCACTGAGATCATCTGTGTTAACATCAGCAGTAATACTGGCTCTGATTGAAGGAGTTTTGTTATTGAAGAATAAGGCAAGGACAAGTCTCTATCAGTGTTGCTACAGCAGTAGTGCTGTTTAGCCAGGCCTCAACTAAAAACATACAGTTCAACTTCTTTTCAGTTGTCAGATCATTAACCAAGAAGGATTTGTTAGCCAATGATCTGACATTCAAAAGAGCTAATTTCAGCTGTTGGGGATCTGTGACAGGAAGGGAGACTGGTTGTGGCTCAGTATTGATAAATCTAAGATTATTGAGACAGGTACCAGATGGTCTGTGATTGCTACGACGTGTTTGACCATGCCACCGGCTGTTTAAATTCACCAGTATGTTCAAAGAAGTGGCATGGGGTCTGTCTGATCTCTGGTGGACACCTTGATACTTTCACAGTATTAATATAGAAACTAGACTTGCTTTAGAATCAAACAACACATGGACATCTACCGTTATACTACAGTAGGTATATGGACCTTTAAAACATCTCAGTGCAACAATACACTGTTTATTTACAGCAATAAGCTGTTCGTCACTCAGACCTTGTTCCGAGCCTTAAGTGCTCAATAGCTGAAGATAAACACACAGTAGGGAGTTTTTTGTGATTTGTTGAGTTGAGATCTGATAATGAAAAAAACCTGAAATGTCAAAGTACTACACTAATTTGCCTCCAGACCTGCTGTTTTCTGTCCAAACCATGGTAGCTGCGGTCATAGCTCATAGTCATAGTCATATAGCTCCAGGTATCCAGCAACAGCCATCACTTGATTGTTAGTTTCTCTCTTTATTGGATTTAACAATGGGAAAAACTGCAAATGAGTGGGTGGTTGATTGATTGGGTGTTTTTCTGCTCTCAGTTGAACTTTTTTCAGTGTGAGGTTTTCAGAGCGCTCCTTTAAAAACGTGAAGTGCACAGTGTGGAAAAGCGGCACACAAAATACACACTACCTATAGAAAACAAACGTAAAAGAGGCCTCTCACAAAAACTACATCCTGTCTGATTATGGTCTTAGTTTATATCTTCAGCTGATTTTCTTCCTCTTCTTTAGCATCTAACATGAAGCATTAAATAAAGTACGCTCAAAGCTACTTCCTTCTGATACCTACTTCCTTACTTAAAATTACAGTTACAATTATAAACACGTATAAGGTTGTGGAACAGTCGTGGTTAAAAGACACTATCTACTATTAACTATGTCACTATCTATTAGAAAATATTTTTATATATCTGTGGGTCATAATGAAGTGCTTGCACAGACAACCTGCAGGCTTCTTTTTTACAAGACAGTCTCACATAAACATTCAGTCATTTTCAGGCTTTTGTCCCTGAAAAAGCACCTGAACAATGGAGAAAAGCCACAGTGACAGAACAATAGGCTTCATAATCAACCACCTCCTCTTTTATTAGTGTTCTTTGAACTTGATAAACTGTGATTACATCATGTGCCCTCACCCATATCACTTGTTGTGGATCCACAGTAAGGACTGGACCGTTCAAAACAAGATGCCGTCCTACCAAACAAAGTCTCAGACCTCAGCACTGCTCAGACGGACTCAACAATGTAATCCAGGACATATGGGTAAACTGACTCTTAACGAATCCTTGTCACTGTTAAAGTTTTTAAGAAATGTAAAATGTCTTTGTCTGATATCTCTCCTAAAGAAAACCTTCTTCTTCCTGTTCTCACTTAGCCATTAAGTATCATACAAACTCATATTTCACTTACTCTCTCATTATCATGTATGTATTTATTGCATTTACATCACTTTTCATTTTTACACCCATCAGGGCATTTAATGTTAGCTTTTGATAATCATTGGTGTTATTCAGTCTGATCCAAAGTTTATCTGAATGCAGGATGTACAGTACTAACAGGTTGTACATCAAATGAGTCAGAAAGGCTGAAGTGAGCATAAAAAGTGCATGGGTTAACATTCTGCTTAGATTTCTCTTCAGATATACTGTGTATAAGACTTTAATACGCATTATCATTATTGTTATTGTTATTATTATTACTTGCATGTGCACCATCTATGTTTTGAGGAACTCATAAGGAATTAAGTTTTTATTAGCATCATGAGGTTGAGGTTCATGATAGATGTGGTTGGGTGTGGCCTGGAGTGCACTTCGATATAACTGCAGCAAGGATGTACAGTTACTTTTTAATTTATGTGTCTGCTAAGTTGCAAAATGTTCATGATCTGCAATAATATTCATTCACTTTTTCCTACTATATCTGCTCTCACAGTACAACATCAAGCATTGAGCTTCCTCGTGGTTGCTCTTCAGCACTCACAGCACGTGCTGAAGAATACAGGAAAGATCATAGTCGAGGTTGATTAGAGACGGATATGTTTTACCATCAAAAGCCAACTGAAACTACAATCTTTCACAATAGGAGTATTTTTGTTGCCCAATTAGACCCAGATGCAGCACTCAGATTGCAAATGCCAACCACCTGCTTACAACTTGTGTGCATTACAGAACCTTAGCACGTCCTGCAATCAAGCAAGAATAGTAGTATCAGATGGTTTCAGTTCTTTATCTGTTTCCTCCTCTCCTCCTCTCTGTGCTCACATACACAGTATTTTGATACAGCTGAATTCTCAGTGAAGCTGTTCTCATTGACATGTCTGTCTGTTTCTGTTGTCTACGGCTTCCCTGAGAGCTCAACACGCTGCAACTTAAGAAAACACCTGCAAATAGACAAAAACACAAACAACTTCAGAAAAACATCGTCATCCATTTGACAACACATGACAGCACTGCAAATACTCACAGCACAACCAGATACACAAATGCATTGTTGTTCAATGCTTTTTAACTTCAAAAGTCACAAACCACTGAACATCAGGAGCGTCGCAGCAGGTTCATCCGTTTTTGTAAAGTTATTTTTTGCCGTAATCTCGATAGCGACAGTGAGAGAGAGACAGGAAGGTCAGGGAGAGGGAGGGTGGGGTTTGTACTGCACACAAATTGTAAGGAGGTGATTGGCATATGGCCCAATGGCACACACTTCCATTGTGTTGTGAGTATTTGCAGCACATTTGTTGTCAAACCGATGAAAATGTTTTCTGAATTTGTGTTTTGTCTATTTGCATGTACAACAGAACAAGTATGAACTAGTGACTGAAGTGTAACCAATTAAAACTACATGTTTAACTTCAGAACAGCCACAACAGCCACACATGACTCATCCACATGTTTTATTTCTTTTCTGTTCATTATCTATTTACAGAAATGAACCTGCAGCTGGCAGTGTGGAGAGATTATAGTTAGCTCTAGTTTATAGTGTTTCTACCCTCTCTACTGGTTGTTATATCATTGTACTCACAAAGTCAATTGTTGCAAACCCCAGTTTTTCAGGATAATCCAATTTATTGCAACTTGGTCTATATTTTTGTGGTTTTGACCATCATTACTGTCGATTATGATAATCTTGTCGCCAAGTTCATTCTGATATCTGGGAAGATAGCAACAAGCAGTCAGAGGATCAGGCAGGAAGTAAACAAAACAACAGTCACTCTGAATGATCTAAGCCTCTTTATTTGGAGCTCACTGAACGTGAAGGCACCAGACATGTCAGTAATTTTTCAGCAACCATGCACACAACCTCAGGAAGTCAGGTCAAAGGCAGGAAGTCAGGGGAGGTTTCCTGACATTTTGGGGAATAATTTCACTCATTGTCTGTTGTTTTCTCTTTCAGATAAGTCTTACCAAGTTGGGAGTTTGTTTCCAACCTGACCCAACTTTTTTTCTAATAAAATAAGAAATAATCCTTTTATTGTGGGATCACTCCAACCTAAACATCTTTGGCCCTTTATTTACTGTTGCTATGGTGTGAGTGCAAAGAAATGTACAGCTTAGTAGCTTTTGTGGAAAGACAACTTTCAAGCGCTCAGGCACAAACTTGATATAACAATTTTCACTCATGCAGCTCCCCAGAGAGAGAAGGTGTCCTTCGTGGCAGTCGACGGGATGAAGACGTTTCTGGTATCAGCTTATTGGGAACATCGTACGGAACAAAAGGAGGTCAGTGACAAGAGCACGGCACACACTCCACCACATTTTACTCCCTGTGGTTCAATATCATCAGGGAACGATAAACTTTCAGTTAGGGTGAAGCACTTGTGATGGTCTAAGACATAGTTAATTTCTTTTGTGCTTACAAATACATATTCTGTGTAGGCCACATGCCAATACAACCTGTAAACATTTTTTGATAGCCATGTTGGAAATTCCTCCTTTGGGCGTCCCTGTGTGTTTTTAAATGTGGGGAGGAAGATAGATAGATAATTTATTTATCCCCTAGGGGAAATTCATGTGTCCATTAGCTCATTGATAATAATAATAATAATAATAATAATAATAATAATAATAATAATAACAATAATAACAATAACAGTTAATAACAAATGAACAATAATAATTAGATTAGTCCACTTCCTTTGGCTGAGGTGTTCTACAGCCTGATGGCAGTGGGAACAAAGGATCTCCTGAACCTCTCTGTTCTGCAGCGCAGTGAGATGAGACGTTTGCTGTAGCTGCAGCTGCTTCTCTGTCCTGCCAGAATGTTGTGGAGAGGATGGTTGGTATTGTCCAAGATGGCCTCCATCTTACATTGCATGCGTCTCTCCACAACAGTCCTGAGTGAGTCCAGACTCCTGCCAAGCACAGACCCAGCCTTTTTTACCAGCTTGTCCAGTCTCTTTGTGTTCATGTCGGACAAACTGCAGCATAAAAGAGTACACTGGCCACCACTGATGATAAAACATGTGCAACATTTTACTGCAGACGTCAAAGGACCTGAGTCTCCTGAGGAAAAAGATCCAGCTCTGCCCCTTCAGGTAGATGGCATTTGTGTTCAGGGACCAGTCCAGTTTACGGTCCAGGTGCACACCTAGGTATTTACAAGTGTGCACCACCTCAATGTCCTTCCCTTGAATGTTGACTGGCTGAAGGGTGGGCCTAGACCTCCCACCCCCATCCCTTCCAGCTTGTCTTTAAGGATGGGGGGTTGGATGGTGTTAAATGCACTTGAAAAATCAAAGAACATAATCCTCATGTAACCACCTGGCTCATCCAAGTAAGAATGGACAGGTGGAGCATGTAAAGGACGGCATCATCCACTCCAATATGTTCTTTGTAGGTGGTGTAGGGGGTCTAGTGCATGTTCAACCTGTGGCCTCAGAAGGTGGAGAAGCAGCCGCTCCAGGGTCTTCATGATGTGTGATGTGAGGTCCACCGGTCTGTAGTCATTTATCTCAGCTGGTCGTCCTACTTTAGGTACCGGAACAAGACATGATGTTTTCCACAGGACCAGGACCCTCCCTGTTTGGAGGCTTAAGTTTAAGATCCTCTGGAGAGGCTCAGCCAGCTGGGCTGCACAGTCCTTTAACAGCCTCGGATACACATCATCCGGGCCTGTTGCCTCTCCATGATGTAGCCTCTTGAGCTCCGCCCTCACCTCCTCTGCTGTAAAGGACAGGAGACTTGATCCAGTGTGGAGGGAGTTGCAGCTGCAGTGTCAGGTTGTGGAGGAGATGCTGTAGGAGAAGCTGCAGCTTTTTGTAGTCCTCCTTCTCCTGCTTTAATCTCCTCTTCAGCTCATGTTGCACACACCTGAGCTTCTCCCTGTCTCCATCCCTGAAGGCCTCCTCTTTCTGCTTGAGGAGGGTCTTGATGTTACTGGTGATCCAGGGTTTGTTGTTTGGAAAGCAGTGTACAGTCCTTGCTGGTATTACAGTGTCCATACAGAAGTTAATGTAGTCTGTGGTACATTCAACCATTCTATCAAGATCAGGATCCTTGCTGTTATCATTTTCCTGTGATTCCAACAGGACATTCCAATCTGTGCACTCAAAACAGTCTTTTAGAGACTCACTGGCCTCCGGGGTCCAGTTCCTGAATGAGTGGGTGGTTGCATCCTGCCTCAGTACACAGGGCTGAAGAAAAAACAGATTATGATCTGATCTGCCAAGTGGTGGTAGAGCTGAAGCAGTGTAGGCCTCCGTGACATTTGCATACAACAGATCAAGTGTCTTATTTTCCCTTGTGGGACAGTCAACATACTGAGTGAAGCCAGTCAGGTGAGAGGTGAGAGTGAGATGGTTAAAATCCCCTGGTAATGCAAAGAGCAGAGAAACTCAGATTATATACTCAGATTGTGTGATCATTCTCTGCTCAGGATGCCATGACTCCACTACATCTTTACATAGAAAATACTTGTTTGCTGCTGTATTATTGTTTAAAGTCTTGTTTACAGAACCTTTAAGAAGTGTCTGCAAGCCAATCATTTAGTCAATTATTAAGCAAATACCAGGATAAACAGGTTGGTAAGTTCCCTCTAATATAACCCTCATTCTTGTCTTCCAGGTTCATGTTCTTGCAGTGGTGCTGAGGAGCAAGACACAAAGCTACCGTTGCCACCTCTGTTGTCAGGACCAACTGCACATCTCTGAAGGTGTCGGTAAAATCCATGGTGATCACTTTAACTTTGCGTATGGTACAGCAGAGATCGTGTGTCCTATCCCCTCAGGCTGTGAGACCCTGTCCCATGTCGCTGTGACCTCTTCCGCAGCCAATTCTGAAGGTACTGAGAGATTCAGGGTTTCTAGAGGTGGCAATGTCAGTCTGTCAGTCAGTTGATCCACCATTTTGGTCGAGACTGAAATATCCGTAGGTGCTATGAAAATTTGTGCTGATAATGCTGATAGTGTCAAGAGGATGAAATTTTAAATATGTCCACATAGATTGGCACCAAATTTTGTGCAGACATTCATGGTGTCCAGACGATGTGCCGTAATGAGTTTGGTGAACATTTCAACAACTATCAACTAAGTCTAAAACCCAGATATGTTCAATTTACTGTTGCACAGGACAAAGAAAAGCATCAAATTCTAATAAATGAGAATCTGGAACTCATGAATGTTTGTAAAATTAGTCAATTATCATTTGTTGTTGCTGATTAATTTTCTGTCAGCTATCAACTCATAGTAGTCATAGAACATAGTAAGTGTCTGTCTTTTTTATTGTATTTCTTAATGGCACTTATTAAACAGCGCAATTAGAAAATATAAGGAGAGTCATGAAAAATAGTGCCACATTCATGTCAATAGCCTGTTGCACCATTTATGTATAGGTTCAACCATATTTTAGATTATATGCACATGGAGCTGGGACGGTATGAAAATGGCCATTGCCATGCTTCACTGCTGCACTATGGCTTCAAATCAAATCAGTGGTTTATGGTTGTGAAGATGTCTGAGAAAACAAATTCAGTTTATTCTGTGATAGCATAAAGATCTGCCACATACTGCAGAGCAGCTTAAAGTCATGTCATATGTTTCCCAAAAGCTCTGTTTTCACAGCTTTCACTAGATACAATGCAGCAGTCAGTGTTGATTTAAAGGTCAAACTAACGATCAAACAACAGGCAACAGGCTGCTGAACAATGTAAAACCTGTAGTTAGTAGTAACTGAATAAGTTAATGTTTTCAGTCTTCAATCCCATTTGAACATACTGTCCATCTGTGATTCTTTTCTGTGAACTCTTAGATAAACGTGACCAAGAATTTCTGGAGGTGAAGAACCAGGAGGCGAAAACTGACTCTTTTCCTTACACCTTCACCGTCTGCATCTCCACCATGTTCGAGTATACCAACGTGCTGCAGGTAACGTCACATAACACTGTTATATTCAAACTTAAACTACCAAACAACTAAAACAAAAACAACACTGTTCAATTATAGCTGGTCCAGAGTTTGGAAATGCTGCAGTTACTGGGGGTGAACAGAGTTGTCATCTATAAGACCAGCTGCAGCCCTAAAATACAGCGCATACTGGACTACTACACTCGCAAAGGTGGAGTATGGTGTTTTTTTTAAGTGTGTGATTGCGTCAGAATGGAATTTTAAAGTCTGTACTGATATCACAAACAATTACAGCAGGGGTATTCTATTTTCCCATCATTTGTCCATCCATTTTTTCCATTCTGTCTTTCTCCGCATGATTGTGTGTGAGCAGAGCTGCCGAACACCCTTTTCCTAGCATTGACTTCCTTCATGAATTTCCTGTAGTGATAAAGAGCTGTTCCAGTGTTTCAGGCCAAGGACAAATACACAAGCACACAGTTGTTTGTTAGGTCCATGACATCACTGTGTTTCCTTAATAGCTGAAAAATCATCCTTTTTTTTTTTATAATGGATATCATTTGTTTCCCAAATCTAACAATGACCCTGAATGTCATGACACTGGAAGACCTGCAATCCCTGACAACCCCAAACCAATATCCAGAAAACTCCTGCCATTATATTCGTGTGTACAGTGGGTTCTTGCCTATTTCTCACGCGTGACGTGTGCATATCCAAGCAGAATTAGACAGAGAAAAGACCTGTCTGTTGATAGTCATATTCATAGTCAGGCAGTGTGTTCCCAGCTCCCTGCTGCTGCTGCTGCTGCTGAAAACAGGGGTAAAGAGAGTGCTGAGACTCAACCAGAATCCATTTTCTTCACCCGGGTTCTGGTCGCTGTGGAAGAAGCCTAAGCATGGCATTCCAGACATCCCTCTCTCCACCAACGCTTTCCAGTTCCTCCTTTTGTTGTCAGATCATTGGCTAACAAATCCTTCTTGGTTAATGATCTGATAACTGAAAAGAAGGTGAACTGTATGTTTGATAGTGTAATGACATTGACCAGGCTGAATTTACATAATTTGAATATCTCGCTCTTAAATTGAAAGGAGTACAATCAGTACTTATCATTACAGTATACCAGCCACCAAGAGATTCATCACTCCTTCTGCAGGAACTCAGAGCTGACCTCACTTGGTATCACTAGATTTGATAAGCTAATCATGAGTCGAGACATGAATATACATATCAATAAAAAGACTGACTCCAAAGCTATGGAGTTCCTAAATCTACTGGACCACCTTGAACTCACCCAACATGTAAATGAAGCCACTCCTCAACATGGTAACACCCTAGACTTATTAATAACAACAGGCTTAAACATTGACAATGTCTCAGTAGTTGCGTTTCTGACCATCACTGTGCATTTTTTGATGCCAAACTAACCTTAACAAGGACAAGAAGGGAATTTTTAGTTTAAAAGCCATTTCTAGATGGCGAGGCTGAAGCAAGGTTCTCTGATATTATGAGATCATTTGAGCCATATAGTGGTGACTGCTCTTTAAATAACATGGTGTCACGCCAGACTTATACACAGGACGCAGATGCAGGGTATCAGAGTCTTTATTAGTAATTCAGGCTTCTAAATACCAAGGCAGAGAAACAAAAACAGGCTATGAAATATTATCTATAACGTGCTTCTTCGAGAAGAAGCAGGGTAATCAATACAAAAATAATAATCACTCCAATAAGGGAGGAAAAAAGACTACATATAAAAAACAGAAAATCACTCTAGAATCAGAGGAAAAAGGAACCAAAAATAGAAACAACAAAAACTCTCCTATAACTGGAGGTACTATGATATAAAAAGTAAGTAAATAAAAATCACTCCTCACGGAGGAAACAAAAGGCTATGCAAACATAAACTAGGAAGATCTACTAAGATATAAAACTTACAACAAAAAATCTCTCACTTGGAGGAAACCGACAAGAACTGTGGCAATGACTGTGATCCAAAACTGTGAAGACGGCTGGGGTGAACGCACATGAACCAAGACGAACACACTGGCACAAGACAAGGGGAGACACGGACTATTTGAACACATGAGGGTAATGAGGAGCAGGTGAACACAATCGGGAATCAGGGAAGACAATCAGACCGGTGACACATGAGGAAGGGCAAGTGACCTGAAACGAGAGGAGAGTTACTTCTTTCAAAATAAAACAGGAAATGACAAGACAAAAAAAACCCCAAGACAAGTCAACCCCACCACGGTGTGACA